ACCAAAATAAATAAGATTTAGATAGAGGTGAAAAAAGGGATAAAAAGGAAATACAACTGAAGAGTGTGCGATGTTATATTGTGGTGTGTTATGCTTCATATGTTATGTTATTTATTCTCATGTTATGGTTATGTTATGTCATGCCAAGTACTAAGCTAAACTCCCCTCCACTTAACCCATTCCAACTAATGTTATTTTAGCTTTCTCAACTTACATAAACTATCTTTAATTTTATCGGTTGAATTTCAACCGCTGGGCGAACACTAGTTTAATAAATTTGTCAATGCTAAAGATTTTTTATTTATCCCCCATTGCTTTTTCTAGCATTTTCTAGTGGTTTTGGGGGACCTATAAAATGTAGTTAGTAACTATAAAAAAATGGTATAAAAATAATTTGGTATTATTACGGGGAAGCTCCTGATGAGAAACAGGGTTTTCCGGTCGAAAAATACTGATTTTCAAGAAATCTATACCATTTCTACGAAAAGCGGTTATTCCCAATATAAAATACATGTAAAACTTTGAGCGCTTTGAGCGACCTGTAAATATTTTTTGATTTCAAAATAAAAAATAGGGCTATATTGTTTCGGCTCGGGGTGAGAGCATACAAATTCCGGCTTTAATTTTATTTTTTACATGCATTTTTGGACCACCCTAGTGTGCATGCACAGTGATTGCAAATTTCTGATAGTTTTCGTTTCTTTACTTTTTTTCCTCTTTTCGATCTTTTTGTGCGTAAAAAGTTAAGAAACACGCCTATTAAAAATACGACTAGTTCGGGATTCTCACCTCTAACATTTGCACATGTGTGCGCACTTAAACCTTCTCCTGCTTTTCACATTAACCACTCGTACTTGCTTTTATACATACATACTTACATATGTACGTAACTATATTCAACCGACCAAAGCCAGTATAAAATGTCATTCAAAGGAAACGATTGACGGTGCGCGCACAGTCGCAATCGCTGATATCAGCCAGTAAAGAATTACCGCTAAAATACTGATTTTGTCTACAGTAACAAGTAAAATCAATAAGTTAAATAGAAAAATATCTAAATTAATGCCAGCAAATTTGCTTTATGTTGAAAAGTGCGAAAAAACAACTTAATTTTCATTCGTCGTGCCTTTGCGGTCAACGTAGACGTTGGCGCCATCACATTACACATTCGCTAAACGGGAAATTCATAATTCCTTTTTACTAAGTATTGTGTTTTTCGTTTTGTTTTATCGCGGCTTTGTAAAGTGCCTTATCACAGTTTTATTACTTTAATGAATGGTAAATAAAATATTTGCCTAAATGCGATTAAAATGAAATGAAAAAGTGAAGAATAGTAGAATATAGCAAGAAATGCAGCATGTTATCGCAAATGTGGTGAGCGAGCAAAAAAAAAAAACAAAAAATAATAAAAAGGAAAACAAACAAAAAATGTGTCGCAGACGAGCAGTGAGAGCGGCTATACTCACTTCGTAATCTGAATATTACGATTACGATTACGATTACGCTTAGGTTTTTTTTTTTTGCCATGTTTCAAGCTTTTCGTTAATTTAATTTGCGCCTACAATATCGGGCGAGAGTTGTGGTAATNCTTTTACTAAGTATTGTGTTTTTCGTTTAGTTTTATCGCGGCTTTGTAAAGTGCCTTATCACAATTTTATTACTTTAATGAATGGTAAATAAAATATTTGCCTAAATGCGATTAAAATGAAATGAAAAAGTGAAGAATAGTAGAATATAGCAAGAAATGCAGCATGTTATCGCAAATGTGGTGAGCGAGCAAAAAAAAAAAACAAAAAATAATAAAAAGGAAAACAAACAAAAAATGTGTCGCAGACGAGCAGTGAGAGCGGCTATACTCACTTCGTAATCTGAATATTACGATTACGATTACGCTTAGGTTTTTTTTTGCCATGTTTCAAGCTTTTCGTTAATTTAATTTGCGCCTACAATATCGGGCGAGAGTTGTGGTAATACGGACGTACTAGCTACTAGTAGTAGTAGTCAGACAGAAAATATGGCTTTTGCGTGTCGCAGAGCGGCGTAGACAAGTGTTGTTTACCTAGTACTCGTCGGTCGTAACTCAGTTTGATTGTGTCGTCGAGCTTGCAGTGTCTAAACCCGGCAGAGTTGTGAAGCGTTTGGTGATTGAGGTTTCTCTATAGGCAGACGACACCTTCTCACTTTTACTAGACGTGCCGCGAGCGCAAGTGATAAGCGTGTGAACGTGTGTGTGTGTGAATTTGCCAAAGCAATAAACGCGTTAAATTATATAAACTAAATATACCTCCTTTGGTTAAGGTATTACATTGCGTGCAATATAATAATATCGGAGTTTTTATAGCTGCAAAAATGTGCATAATTTTTGAGTTTTTTTTCTGCCAGTAAAAACAGCTGCCAACGGCCCCTGCCGTCCCTAAANTAAATTATATAAACTAAATATACCTCTTTGGTTAAGGTATTACATTGCGTGAAATATAATAATATCGGAGTTTTTATAGCTGCAAAAATGTGCATAATTTTTCAGTTTTTTTTCTGCCAGTAAAAACAGCTGCCAACGGCCCCTGCCGTCCCTAAACGCCTCAAACTCGTCAGACTACAAAATTACGCTGCTAAATCTTAAGTGTGTGTGTGTGTGTGTGTTGCTTGGCTTGGCTTGGATAATGCCATTCATTGATTATTTTATAAATAAATTTTTTAGTCAAAGTTTTATAAATAGTNTAAACGCCTCAAACTCGTCAGACTACAAAATTACGCTGCTAAATCTTAAGTGTGTGTGTGTGTGTGTGTTGCTTGGCTTGGCTTGGATAATGCCATTCATTGATTATTTTATAAATAAATTTTTTAGTCAAAGTTTTATAAATAGTCACAAACATAGCAACAACAATAGCAATAGCACGTGGCCCATTTGCCTATGTCACACATATGCACTGCCACAACACGCAGCGCAGAAAGTGTTGCCAACAAAAGTGTACTCTCTCTCCTACGTCCTCGTTGGCACTCCTTCCTTCACAAGTCAGCAGCTGCATACAGGGTGCGCCAAATAAGACCTACCAAATAAGACTTACAGCAAGACCACCGCCAACTACTACAATACGCTATTCGTTTTACACAGTTAGCCACACAAATTGAAATTTTAGGTAATGTTTTGAAGTCGGTTGAGGCGCATTTTCAAGCAAAACTGTAGATTGTGTGGCTATGAAAATCCAACGGCAACACACCAGCACCAGTTACAGATGGACTGTTTGGTATGGTTTTATGAGAATGAGGATGAAACGCCAGAAACGATTTCTGGGGCTTCTTACAGAACAATGATTGACAACTTTTTGCGGCCAATGGCAGAGCAGCATCCTTATTTGTGGTTCCAACAAGATGGAGCTACTGCGCACACTGCTAGGCAAACTATGGACCTATGAACTATGGATGGTAGNTCAATGGCAGAGCAGCATCCTTATTTGTGGTTCCAACAAGATGGAGCTACTGCGCACACTGCTAGGCAAACTATGGACCTATGAACTATGGATGGTAGGTCTTAATTGGCCCACCCTGTATATACACACATACATACAAAGCCAAGTGGTTTGTGCGGCGGGTGTGTGCATCCACATGCTTGTGTGATCGGCCGGTTGGCCGGTTCATCGAAAGCGCCTGCCAAGCTCGACCGTTGCCTATCGCCTGTTGTCCATTACTTTAAATTACCTTCGGAAATTTAATTGTGTCCCTGTTGATGCGATTGCCTACTTATTACTGCTTCTTTGTTGCGGGAAATCGAATAATGTCTAAAGTAATAACAACGCCGAGAAAGGTTAAAGATGGAAATAGAACGAAAATGCAAACAATACAGTGAAATCAAGTTGAAAATGTAAAATATATATATATATATATATATAATTAGGGGTATTCTCGAAATCTTGCAAAGCCGTTGCAAACACACAGCAACCAAATACATGGGAAACAGTATTTCCTATCGCTGAAAAGTATGCAACGTCTGGACCCATGCACGTATTTTACAAAAAAGCATAGCAGGATAAATGCGACTCTGTGCAAGCGTTTTTCTTTTTGGGATTGCTACATATTTTTCTCATTCCTCTCATCTCGCTCACTTCAATTTTTTTGCTGTACCTTGATATTGTATTAGATACAAAATTTCGCTGCTTGCAACCTATGCATGCAACCACCGCTTTGCAATGGGGTACCCTCGTACTCCTCCGATTTTGGAAGAGTATTTTTGCATTTCGTGCAACGCGCAAGACTTCGAGAATACCCCTATTGTATCATTTTATTTACTGGAAATTTATGCTACATGTTTCATTAACGCTTACTGATAAGTGTTAAAGCTCAAAAGTCATGCGATAAATATTAAGTATTTTGTAAATGATAAAGTTTGATAAGCTCCGTGAATACATATCGCTCATTTGCTGCAAGTGTCGTAATCCAAAAAATAGAAAAATAAAAAATAAAAATATTTTAAGACCAGCTTTTATTAGTGGTTAGTAAAAAAAATAAAAATGGACCTCCGCACCACCTAACGACTAAATTTTTTGTCAAGTTATTTATTTCCATTTTAGTTATATACACTAGGCAACAAATGAAAGGTACACCTTGTTACAATATAATACTCACAATTATCTTCATACACAATTTTTTTGCATTAATTATTTATGAAAATATAGTTCATTCTCTAATATAAACAATAATATTAACCAAAGTTTAACACTTTATATGAAATTCACAAAAAATCTAAAAATTTTCAACAAAATTTAAAAATTTGTATTCAGAATTTCTAGAAAATGCAGAGTATGCAGTTTTGTAGCCCATTCAATTTTAGTAAAACAAAGTGTAAGTTTGAAGTCACTAAAAATTACCGTTGATTTCTTATTTTTTTTTTTTTGTGAAGGGTGTTGCGCATTTTCTTCCATTAAAAAAATGGTAAAAAAAACAACGGAAATTTTTAGGGACTTGACAAATTCAATGGGCTACAAAAATCCTTACTCGAAAATTTTCTAGAGATTCTGGATTAAAGTTTTGATGAACATTTCCTGAATTTTTGAACTTTATATAAAGTGTGAAACTTTGATTTGCAGGTTTATATTATAGACAGCTATATTTCCATAAATAATTAATGCAAAAAATTGTTCATGAAAATATTTGTTGATATTATATTAGAACGAGGTGTACACTTTTCATTTGTCACCTAGTGTACCTTCTAAATATGAACCAAATCGGACCATAATTACCATTTGTTCACGGCATTAAAAGGAAGGTGCCCTGAGGCCTACAAGTATAGGCATGCGCTCGGTTCTTTATGAAAACCTCTGCACCTATTCAAGTGTTCTAATGTGAACGTATAAATAGTGGGAGTAAATAGTTACGACAGTAAACTGATATCGTATCATGCGCACCTTACCGGGGCATATTATTTACTGTTTCCATATTCCGTGCTCCATTCAAAGCTCTCTTCTCTCTTTCATTAAGAACAGAAAACATTTGAAAGTAATACTTTCGGCTGCATAATAGTTTTACAGCTTAACTGCCAATAATTTGCAAAACGAAATTATAGCTTTTAGTTGTCAAACGGCAAACTTAGTATTTCATAATGCCAGTTGAGTCTACTTGGCATTATAATTGTTCATTCCACAATTTCAGACGCTTGCAAAGCCATTAAAAAACTAAGGCAGTTTTCTTGGAAGAATGAAATATTACGAGTACCTTCATCAATCAACGTGTGGCCAGTTATTCAAATTGGCAAAAATCAATAGCTTTTTTAAATAAATATTAATTAAAACCAATTGAGTTTACTTTTTTCTCAGAAGCAAGAAAAATATCATTGAACTTTTCCCTCAATTCCCAAAGATGAAATTTTGCGCTCTTAGTAAGCAGAAAGAAATTTAAATGTCAAGACTTCTGAGTTAATTAATTCGATGACGAGCGAAATTGCAAAAAAAAAAAATACACCAAACAATGAGCAAAATAGAAGAGAAATTTTGAATAGCTTAGAAAGCGAAATCAAAATGAAATGAATGGCAATAAAAAATGTGTAGGTATTTATGTACTTTCGTACTGAATAAGCGGTGTAAAGAACCGCATAGAAAAGGAAAAGCAATTATAATTCGATTTTTTTTTGTAGTGAAAATTTTTATACATATGTATGCACACGTATTTCTCAGGTGGCGAATGTTTTAACTTCGTCTAAAAATGACTAAAGCAAATAAAATTTTCCACTTTGACATTTTTGTATAGGAATGAGCTTCAGAACTCAAAATCCGTGCGATCAGGTTAGAATTTTTGGGCACTGACCGTAACGGCTATAACTTTTAATAAAAATAAAAAATAAAAATAGTCGCGTCTTTTTGAGTTTTACGTTTTGCTTATTTAATAGTAAGCAGAAGATGGGTACAACGACGAATACGGAGACGAAGGTGAAGACGACGACGAAAACGAAGACGAATAGAAATATGGCGACGACGACGAAATGCCTATGTTACGAAAATGAGTACGACGACGGAAGCGATTACGACAGCTAAGACGAAAGAGTGGACGATTAAGAAGTAGAAGACGAGAGTAAATATGAGCACGAACGAACACGAAGGCGAACACGAATAAGACGACGAAGACGTATGAGAAAACGAATACGTACACGATGCCGAGTACGAATGCAAATGTGAACGCGAATACGAACTTAAATACGAAAGTGAACTTCCCTTAAAATTATGTACAATTACGTTTAACATTTGCANATTACCAATATCATTCCCATTGCCATTATTAGTTTTTATTATTAAAAAAAATCAACTCAGAAAATAACTGCTATTTGTTCTCCAAGCAATAAGTAAAAATATAAAAGATCACTTTTCAAAGATAAAATAAAACTAATAAATAAATAAATAAAACTCAAAAAGTAATTATCAAATTTGATTTTTTTTAATAATACTTAAAAATTTAAAATTCTATTACGCGAACCCAGGACCGAAACAAAATAGCAGACTGAGGAAAAATCCGAAGACCTTCCCTTAATTTACATATTCAATTTATTTTCCAAAATTTTAGAAATGAACTTGAAAATTTTTACAAATTCACATACCTATACATACCAATTGTGTAATTTTTTGACTATTTTTTTTTGATTTACCTTAGGAGTTAACAAGTTAAAATTACGTGTGGATTACTGATTTGTAATTGTGAAACAATTTTGAGATAGGGCACTTCTTAGATAAGATAGTAGTTTACTAGATAAGAAGGCAAGGTGTTTGTTTACATCGAAAAATATGTACATATATACTACATTACCATATTTACTGAGTCATGACATAAGCGTACACTTAGATACATAAATACCTGCGAATATGCATACATTCGTAGGTGTAGATATATACATATGTATGTTTGCTAGAAGACTTCAACCTTTTCAGAAGTTAATATTATCATTAATAGCTATGGTTTTCATGTATTCCATATAAAGACTTAAGTATTTACTTAAGTTAAAGGTGTATGAGTTGCACCATTTTCGGTACAAGCAAAAACTGTCGCAGATTTAAAAGCTGTTTATTCAAAAGTAACTCAAAACTTTTTTCCGATAATTCACTAAAACGTGAGAAATACCTAATATTACAAATTAAAAACTTAGAGAACAAAAAAAAAGCGCAGTGCTATCAATACCTATTCATTGCGCTTTATATGTAGGAATATGGTAGTAAAACTGGCACGTTGCGACGGATATATGTAATAACGCGTTGCCAAGCACATTTTTACCGCCTCGAATTCAATTCGTTTTGTTAAATGGGATATCGCGCCGTATGTATGTATGATTACCCTGCAGAAACAAATTATCAATTGATGAAAAATAACCAACTTATAGTTAGCGTTTTTGCGGTATTTCGATAAATAACTAACTTTTAATTAGCTATGACAAAACTAACTTTAAGTGTGTTGTAAAGTCGTGCAGGCGTCATGCAGACGTAATCGAGAGTTTGTTTTTTTCACAAGTTTCTATTTAAAAATCCTCATTCAAAAACTACTTTGAATAAATTTTTCTCTGCACTTTGCAAATACTTTTTCGAATTCAGAAAAAATAAAATGAAGTTCGAAATTTTATATTATTATTTTGATGTTATGTCTGACAGAATTCATATAACAAATATGCAATTTTGAATGTAAACTATATAAATAAAAATGCAAAAAAAAGTAAAATTAAAATTAACAATTTTTTTATTGATCTTTTATGCCCAAAAGTAGTTAGCTACAAGTTAATTGACGTCTAAAAGCATAAACAGACGGGAATTAACTGCAGTTGATCCGGATTAAGTCCGAGTTAATCCGGATCAACGCTGCCGTATGTTTAAGCTTTAACGCAGAGGAAACCAGTTCTCACTTTTTTTGACTGCTGTGTAGTTATAAGTTAGTTATAAACTAGCCCCGTTTCCTGCAGGGTATGCATACATACATGTGTAGCATGTACGCCCTCGTCGGGCTCGTATGTATATAGTTTGACACCTGGGCGACATAGTGTCAAGTTCAACTTAAATGGAGTTGGGGCAATTTGTCTTCATTGATGCATTCTTTTGTATTGTATCTGCAAGAATATTCGCATGGAGCACGTCTGTCCGAATGCTAATTACATAAATAAAATTATTCCGCATTTTTTCTCGCAGCATGTTGCCTCCTTTGCTTCAATTTTGAACTCCTAAGCTCTTAAGTGTGTCTCAAGTACGGTTTATACACACATACATATATATGTACATAGCTGAAAAGTGCTACACCTCAGTTATTACTTCTGCATACTCTTACTCTACACTTTATGTGCTTTAATTTCTTAAAAGTAGGCATGTTTTTGTTTCACAGCGTTTTCCCAGCCCAGTTGTAAATGGAAAGTATTTTGTATGCAAATGCAAGTTAATGCATACCACACATTCATATTTACCCGTACATGTCTATGTTTCTCGGTGCTTATGTATGTATGCGAATACATATGTATGTAAATTAAGGTTAGGGTGGCTCTTTTAGGGACTTATATATTATTGCATACTTCGAGTTAAAAACTGAATGCAATAAATAAAAATAGATTGCATGCTTGCCACTTCAATTACCTTAAAGAGATCTCCTCTCATAATTCTTGCTCAAAAGAGTAAATTCCAATTGATAATTGGATCAGAGTAGAGCATAACGATGCATTTATATGAGGCGATTTATTGGCATGCGATACTCGCTTGAAAAAGTTTCATTTGGTATCTACTTTGAGGCAAGTATTTTTGAATCAATATTTACACCATTTTTTGTTGATTCGCATAGAAAATCGCCTCATGTAAATACAGATTAAGATTATTGTAATCCTTTCGGTATGTCGAGAATACTTCATGTGGAGAATACATATAGTTCCGGAGGGCCAATAGGCGAGTAGGGCTACTTCACAGGGATTTTTTATAGCAATCTGTCCAGATGGAAGCAAACTTTTATAGGCGGCTATTTTTTTATGTATCGATGAAAAGTTCTACGTACATAAGTTCTAATTTAAAAATATAATAACTAAATAAAAAATATTAAATAAAGAATAAATAATGAATAAAGATAAAATTAAATAAAAAAATAAAAAAAGAAAATCGAAATAAAAAAAATTAAGTAACAAACAAATTTAGAAATATGTATGTCAATAAAATAATTGCAAATAAAAAATAATTGAATAGTTGAAAGTAAAAATTAATTGAAAATGAAAAAAAGATAATAAAGTAATGAAAATAAACAATTATAAAAAATAATCAAATAATTTACAGTAAAAAATATCAAAGAATAAAATAATAAAAATCAATAAAATAACTTACAATAAAAAATAACAAAGAATAAATAATAAAAATCAATAAAATAATTTACAAAAAAAATAACAAAGAATAAAATAATAAAAATCGATAAAATAATTAAAAATAAGAATTAATAAAATAAAAAAAGAAATAAAAAATAATAACATAATAAAAAATAATACAATAATACAAGATAATACAATAATAAGAGGTAATACAATAATAAAAAATAATACAATAATAAAAAATAATACAATAATATAAGCAAATTTGTATGCTTTTGGAATGGCGTGCACTGAAAAAAATAAGCCATACATATTTAGCGGATTCACAATACCTTTTTAGGCAATTTGTAACGTCACCAAAATGTTTTTAAAATAATAATTTTGTTGTTGTTCTGCACGGCATAGACAACAACTAAAGTATGAAATCTCAAGCTTCTTAATGTTTCCAGTAGCGGTTTGTGCTGTTTATTTGGTTCCAAATGATATGTCCTATTCTATATATTCGTTACAACTAGTGTGTTAAAAAGGGGGTGGCAGAGGTTAACCGGCAGCATTATTGGTAGTAGCAAAAAAAAAACGCTAAAAAATTACAAAATATGTACGAAAAAGAAGTGAACTAAAATATTATTAAAATTGCAAACTTTTTTGAACATTGAATGAACCGGGTAAACATCAACTCAAACTACTACCGGAAACTACCACATTTCCGTGGGTCTTTTTTAAAATAGCCGACGTTAATCGACCACTGTTCTTATCACAAAGTTCTCATCTATGCACGCGTTCTTTCTGCGCGTCAAATCGCATTTTAGTCTACATGGACCATCATCGACCTCGGCATCTGATTCACCCCGCTCCACCACACCCACCACGCCAGGTCCATCGTCATATACTCCGCCCATGGAGCTACAACGTTCCAAATCAGTCAAATCGATACGCGTGCGGAAAGTGTCGAAAGGATCGTTGAAATCATTACGTCGCGGCACCATTTGCGTTACAGTCAGCACGCACGCATCCTCAGTATTCTACGATGATGAGGTAAAAATTTTGTTCGTACATTTTCATTGTTGGCAAAATATCTTCGACATACTCGTGTGTATGTATTTACATGTACAGCCCGCGAAAAAACCATAGCACCCTACATTTGGACTAGTTTTGACTATTTTCTTTTTTTTTATATAGAAGAAGCTGTAAACACCGTGAGCAAAAAAAAAAAATATGAAAAAATAACTTTATTGCCCTAAAATTTAATGAGATATAAATGAATATTAATCAATCAAAAGACTAATATTTGGTCAAAACTTTTCCAAATGTTGAAGTGCTATTGTTTTGTCGCAGGCTGTGTGTTTTAAACAGAAATATTTAACATTTTAAGTCTCATTTATAACTACAAGGTAGATACACATGCAGTACGTATTTTTTTTCTTACAATTGGGAATGGGAAACCTTTAAAGTGTAGCCAATATTGCCATAATTGCCATATTTGTCCTTATGCGTTTGACTTTTGTATATACATACAGTCACTCACAAAAGTATTCGTAATTTAGTTTTATCACAATATTCCAAATGTTTTCCATCATAAATCTTTTTCGTTAATTTTCATTTAAAATATATTTCATTCTATAACAAAAACCATATAAAGCATTCTTGCAAACTTTGTACAAAATTCATAAAAATGAGTCAAACTTAAAAAACTTTCATCAAAATTTCAAACTTGAATAATTTTTAGAAAAATTTTCGGTATGCAGTTTTGTAGCCCGTTCAATTTTAGTTTTACTTTTGTTATAGAATGAGCTATATTTTAAGTGAAAATTAACGAAAAAGATTTGTGATGGAAAACATTTGGAATATTGTGAAAAAACTAAATTACGAATACTTCTGTGAGTGACTGTACATATTTATGTATGTACGAGTAAGTCCGTTTAAGAATTTCTTTCAGTGTCTTCTTCCATGTTACATTTTCTTCATTTATTTTAAAATGTTAATTTATCGTATATTGTTTTCTTGGCCATGAAAATTAATTCAATTATTCTGCTTGTTGTTTTATGTGTGTTCGTGAGTGTGTGTGGTTGTGTTAGTTTGCGTCCATTCGCCTTCATATAGTTGAATTGCCAGCCTATTTGACCATTCACAAACATATGCATGCACATACATACCCTGTAGGAAAAACCGAAACTAGTGATGAACCAATCTGGTTTAAAACTAGTGCGAAATTGGCAATTTTAAGCCACTTTGCTACTCAGTGCAGAAAACGCAAATTATCGATTATATTGCACAAAATGGTTGTGGTATCGCGCGACGACTACACTGAAAAAAAATCCCCAAAATTGGTTAATAATACCAAATTCAAACTTGAGAAGGAATCAAATGATTTATGTTTTATATATTTACAGTGTCATTGTTGATATAGTTTTTCGTTTGTACACGCTTTTGTTCTGCACTTCACAGATGCTTTTTTATAGTTTTGAGTCATAAAACAACAATTTTTATACGAAATTTTAAATCCGACCTTCTGGAAGTTATCAAATAACAGCAAGCATCTCTGCACACACAGCTACAACTGTTCTGCAAATATCTTTTCAAATGTTCAACTTGAATGCATTTTCTCGTCGTTTGAATTTCTCAGATGCTTTTTCGTAATTAGGAAAAACCAAAAATAAAAATAGGAAATTATATTTTGCCTATGACGGCATTCGAACCCGAACCGGCTGGAAGCTAACAAATAACAGCAAGCATCTCTGCACGTTTAGCTACAGCCAGCCATAGTTGCAAATGTATTTTCAAATGCTCAACTTCAAATCCACTTCTTACAATCGGTGTATTTACCATACAAAAATCAAACAATAAATGGGTTGAAAAACCATTGTGATTTTGGTGCAGTGTATGGCTTATGGTACTGAGGCAATTTTTAGTCACTAGAAACCTTGCACTTTAATATGATAAAATTAAATGGGCGCTAGAAAATTGCTTAATCAAAATTTTTATAAGAAATCGTGTTGCAAGTTTTTAAATTTCGATGAAAATTTCTAGCATTTTCCGGAATTTTTTATCTGTTGAATGAACTTATTTTTGACGTACGCTGTATACATCAAAATGCTCAGAATGACAAGCCGAATCGTTTAACCCATGTCTGTGTATCCGGTCGTCCGTGCGCACGAAAACTCGAGTAAAATATAACATATCTTAAAATTAGGTACTTAGGTTGCCATTTATCCAAGGTATGTTGGTATTTAAAACGGGCGAAATCGGACAATATTCTCGCCCACCTCCCATATAACGGAACAAAATAAGAGAGTTATGAATTTTTTTGGAAAATGGGCGTTGCATCGCCGGCTTGTAATAAAATGTTGAATCTCTGTAGCCGCTTTACCACCAAATTCGTTACGAATATTGCTTACGGTGCAACCAAGAAACCTGTTAAAACTTCTGAAATCGGACAATAACTACGCACATCTCCCATATAACGGTAATTTGCAGAAATGCGCAAACTGCGATAAGTTAGTAACTGCTCAAACTAATTCATTCAAAATCGATATTTGTAATATCCTCTTGCAGAAAATGATATTAACATAAATTCATGTAAAATGGGCATGGGCGTGGCACCGCCAACTTATGCCCACATATGTATGTGGATATGTGTACCTCGGTAACCGATTTATCAATTTCTACCGAACTCGTTGCAGTTATTGCCCTTGGCGCGAGAAAGCGATATGTATGCAGGTAAATTTTTGAAATCGGACTAAAATTACGCCTACTTCATATATAACGGTAAATTTTAGAAATACGAAAATTTACTCCTACCTACAACAATTTCTTAACAAGAAACGAGATTATAGATTTTTGGAAAATGGGAGTGGCACAGAAGTATATGTACATATATGCATGTCGATAGCCGCTTTATCGATTTCCACCGAACTTGGTCCACTTATTTAAATAAAAAAAAAAGGTTTTTTTTTAAATTTTCTGTTATTAAAGCATTTATGTTTATTTCCTAACTCTAGCTGCCCGNGTGTAGGAAATATGAAAAGGCATCTGTGAAGTGCAGAACGAAAGCGTATTGAAAACATAGTAGTTATTTCCTGCACGGTATTTACATACTCATGTATATACATATAGTTTAATGTTTATGCATGCATGTGTGTACATATGTATGTATGTATGTATGTTTACTTATTTTATTTGTGTTTATTTTTTATTTTCAGTTTTGATAGATTATATCGTGTTTGAAATTGAATTAGTTGGTAGGTGGACGAATGTGCGTAAGTGTGTTTGTTGTGCGCTTATGTTCGTAATTAATGCCAAGTGCATGTTACCGTTTTGCTGTTTATGGCTCAAGTGCCTCCTTACGAGTACGCCTTCTCCTCTCGATCTATATGTTGATTATACAATTTACACATGTATATGTGTTTGTGCAAAGTTACTCACATATTGTCGTAAAAAGGTTAAGGTATTTTAGTGAAATAAGTTAAAAAAATAAATATCAATCGATTACAGTCAAGCAGCTATAATTTGGAAATTTCATAGCGGTAGTTTGTAGTTAAAAAAAAAGTATATCTACAATGAGAAACACTCGAAATTGGACAGTGAGATATTTACGTAAATTTTATTTTGTATAAAATTTAGAAAAATTCACAAATTTTCATCAAAACTGCAAACCTTTTAATTCGACGGATTTTCGGTATGCAAAAGTATAGCCTATTATTAAATTTTGGTATAATAACGCGCAAGTTTGAAGTTGCTAAAAAATTCCCGTTGATTTTAGATTTTTTCTAAAAAAAAAATGCACAACGTTCTTGCATAAGAAATTCATGTTTATGTGGAAAAAGTACAAAAAAGCAAAAAAAAAAAGTTTTCAAAAATAAATACACAAAATTTTTAAGTTCAACGGGTTTCTTGAGAAGAAAGACAATAATGATTAGATAATGTACTAAAAGCTAATAAATAATTAGGTAGATCCTAGGTACCAGTCATCAGACCATTAAATTTAAATGAAATAAAATTAACATTGGTGGTACATGCAGTGACTCAAGCAAATGACCACGTGTTGATTTTTCAAAATATTCATAATGTAATGTGTAAATCACAGTTTCAAACTTAATAAAAGACTTAGCAAAATTCAAAAAACTTTCATGCCGATTGCTTATCTTTCAAGCAAATCATTTCTTACTTACATACACATGTATGTATGTGTATCCTAAATTTATGCATAAAAACTACTAAAATCACAAATTAAATTTTTTTTATATATTAATCATGCGATTTTTTTCTTAATTTTTTTTTTTAGGGTGACTACATTAAACATCCCGTCCTTTACGAGCTCAGCCATAAATATGGTTTCACTGATAATCTACCCGAGAGTGCGCTGCCCAATCGCCTGGAAGAAATTAAAGAGGCGATACGACGGGAAATTCGCAAAGAGCTGAAAATCAAAGAAGGTGCCGAAAAGTTGCGCGAAGTGGCCAAAGATCGACGATCCTTGAACGATGTGGCATCAATCGTAAAGAAAAGCAATAGCAAATTGGCCGAGTTGAAGTCGGAATTGCAAGAATTGGAAAGTCATATTCTTCTAACGCAAGGCAACTCTGTGAGCAATGGAAGAGGTAAGCAAAAAAATGAGATTTTTTTTTTTGAATATTCACAAAACATTTATAAAATTTGTTTTGCTAGTTTTCTATAAAGAGCTTGTCCATTCTTTAACCAAAATCATTTAAGTCAAAGTGCAAGAGGCCGCTCAGTGGAAGAGCCCCATACAAGATGTGGCAAAAAGTAGTAAATGCGCTCTGATTTCGCTTAAAATTGGAACGTGGAATACTTTTGCCTAGGAATGAATAAATATGAAAAAAAAAAATCGTTAAATTTAGCGGACTGCCACGCCCACTACTCTGAGTTTAATTTCAGTTTGTAACTCGGCTTAATCCAGGAAGTCATAAATCTGAGAGATAGTAAAAACCGGTCTACTGTGGCAAGGGCCATTAACGAATCGAGTCAACCACCTTGTTGGATATTTCCGCACATTTCGAAATTAGGACTTTATGCCACTCTCAGACCACTGTGGGCCGCAGAAAAAAAAATATTCAACGCGATCTTTCAGCCGGTCTAAATTTTCCGTTTCTTTTACTATAATTATTTTGGCTACAAAACTGCATACCCATCAATTTTCTAAAAATTCAGATAAAAAAAGTCGAAATTTTGATAAAAAATTTATTGATTTTTTTTTTTTAAATTTTGCACAAGGTTTCAAACTTTGAGTTATATGATTTTAGTAAACAATGGATGGAACATTTTGTGAGTATTTAATCCGTAATGGTCACACTTCCAAAAAAAAAGCGTAATGATCACACGGAGTCAAGTGGACCCAAACAAAAATAAGTACCTATACAGTTAGGTTTTTTTACAATGTTTAAAATATTTTTCGTTTATTTTATATACAATTATAATTCATACTATTACAAAAACCATATAATCAAATATACAAACTTATTACGAAATTAGAACGAAAATAAAAATCCGCAAATTTTCATTCAAATTTCAGAAAATTTTTTCGTATAATAAAGTACAAGCTTAAATGACCTAGAAATCGCGTTGATTTTTATATTTTTATTTTTCCGAAGGGTGTTGGGCAATTAATTCCATATAAGTAGTGATTTTACATACAGTGGTCGAAATATTAATTTGGACACGACATTTTAGCAAATTTTGCCTTTTTTCTTTTGTTTATTTAATATTTTTTTTTTATATAAAAGTTTAGCTTATTAAAACGGTAAAAATTCATATTTCAAACCTTGTACAAAATTGCTTCTAAATTTTCAACTTTTTAATCAGATTTTGCAGAATTTATGCAGTTTTATAGTACATTATATTTTAGTATAATAAAGTGCAAGTTTGAATAACGCATTACGCCTTAGGCACTTTTTTCTAAAAAAAATTATTCGAATGTACTTTGTACGGAAGAAAATGCGTTTATAAAAATTTGCCAAAAATCAACGAAATTTTTTAGGAACTACACTTTATTCCACTAAAATTTAAGCGGCTTTGAAACTGCAAAATTAAAAAAAAAAACTGAAACATCGGATTAAAAAGTTTAAAATTTAGAGGCGATTTTGCAGAACTTTTATAATTTTCGCGCAAAGTTTAAAATATTAATTTATACGGGTTTTCTTAGATAATGAACTACATCTTTATAAAAAAGTAATAAATATTAAATAAAGAAGTGAAAAATAGGCAAAATTTTTTAAAACGTCGTGTCCCTATTAATTTGTCCACCACTGTATGTGGAAGAAAAAGCACGATCCAATTTGTGGTGTGCGTCTTGTTTTTGCCACCGTTACACAAATAGGGGAATCTATAGTTTTATACCGTCTCCGAACGGCAATTTTCGAGAAAAGCTTTTTAAAGGCAGGAATACATTCGGAGGCTTGCCATTGCCTGCTGAGGGGCGACCGCTGTTAGAAAAAACTTTTTTTTTGTAGCTTAGTCTTTATAATTTTTATTGCGCTTAAAATCCGCTCAATCTCAGCGTTACTGAATGGCAAATCAAGTACAACTTGAAGCTAGTTTGCAAAGTTCTTGAAACGGGTTTTCATTCAAACTATCAGGAACACAATTGTTGTACTAAGATTGGTTAAAAGTTTTCGCCATGGATTTTCAATCTGAGGTAGTATTCTCATTTTAATATTCATGTAGTCAAAAAAGGTGAGAAAAAAATTAAAAGTTAGACGCAAAATGTCCTCAAGCCTCAAATATGCTAAACTGGCAACATTGATCATCACTAGTTGAAGCATTGCCAATTAATTATTGCGCTACAATAATCTACATTTTTCTGAAATCGAGAACGCCAACTAAGCAAAGCACTAGCTGTTCATTCATAAATGCTAACTTTGAAGCATAAGGGCTTAGTAGAAATAGTCGTCCGCTTTGGAAATTTTCCCAACCATTGCCTGTGTAATGAATTAGGGCAATAGTTGGCAAACATCCAGTAAGTAGACAGACATGAAAATACATACATATATGTATGCACATAGGCCATTGTTGTTATATCTATGACCTCAAAAGTGAAAAGGCATCCGTGTCGTGTATTCATGTTTTTATGAATAAAAATAATAAATTGAACAAATAGAACGGACGGATGGGTAGTTGGAATACGTAATATGACGGAGAGTACTGGTACATATTTGCTTATTATGTAACCCATCATACATAGTATTTCGTCATGGCTTCTTTTATTCTAGATGACCAATTGTAATTGTAATGGTATTTATGTAAGCTTGCTCATATTTGTACACGTACATATGTTGTTTGTGCATTAGACTGATTAAAAAAAGGCAAACTTTTTTTTCAATAGCTCTCTCTTCAATACCTCCGGGGGGATGTCAAAAAATATCTGTTAAAAGCGCAACCCTTAATATTAAGAAGTTTAAAAGGTCGCGCCACGCGGTTTTCTATTTTCCATATAAATTACTTAAAAAAACTTGTTTTTGTCTTTGGAATGTGTTTTCGCAGCTATGAATTATCGAACTAAAAAGTGCGATACAAATTTTAGTAGGAAATTAGACGCTCTACAAAAGAATTTTTATTTTTTTTTGATAAACCTATTGGTTTAACAGTTGTTATTCACACTTAAAGTCAAATTTATGCTTTGTAATTTATATGAAAAATAGAAAACCGCCATTCATTCCGTACGTTTTAAACTTATTATTAAGGGTTGCGCTTTTAAAAGGCATCTTTTGACATTCGCCCGAAAGTGTTGAAGAGGGGGGCTGTTCAAAAAGTTAGTCGATTCTTTTGAATCAGTCCAATGTAAATACATATGTATGTAAATGTATGTACATATGTGATCACAAAAATATCGTTCTTTTAGTGATTTTATTTTGAAGGAACATTTTTTTTTATCACCTGCGTGCTAGCGAAGGTTTTTGAGACTTATACCCAGTTTGACCAATCAATTTTAAAATTTATCAGGTGGATAATAAAGGTAATTAACTTAATTTTATAAAATTACTTTTATTATCCACCTGATAAATTTAAAAATTTAGACTTGTGGACAGCTGAAGAGAATAAATAATACTTACATTTTTCATAAATACATCGGTGACAGTTGAAAGGCTTTGAAAACTGGGTTTTGGAGATAAAAAGGGCAGCTAAGGACTTAGGTTATTTTTCTTTTATCACTTCTCATCAGATAGAGTAGTCATTGTGGAATTCTGTATACTATTTGGGGTAACCAGGACAATCACTCTCTGAACTTTAGGGTTAGACGAGTTATGATTGCGCAATTGACGGGAGGCGCTAGTGTTGATTGGACATTACATTTATATATCTTATTCCAAGATGGAGCTTATGGTATATTTAGATGAGGAAGAAGGTAACCGAAACAAGATCTACTGTAAAACACCTCTACAGGTCTTCACCTCCCGAGGTCCTTTGGCTGAATGCTATTTAGGTAGTGTGCTTATAGGTGCGGTGATCCTAGGAAGTGAAAGCTAGGCGGTTCTCCTAATTGATATTCCCGGAATTCCGGACTTAGCCTGTTTGGCTGCTTTCGTGTTTGTCCAATACTGTTACGCTTCATTCTTCATCCAGATATAGAGGTTTCGCATAACAGAGCTTCATGGCAGACCAGTAAAGGTCAATGAATCCTTGTGCAGCGCCTTTTCTAGCGAGCATATCTGCCACTTCATTGCCCATTACCCCACTGTATCTGGGTACCCAGATGTGGTGTAACCTGTTTCTGGATGCGATAAGTATCAAACGCTGAAGGCAATCCTCCCACACCAGCTTTGAGGTGACCTCGTGCGCCTTAAGAGCGGCCGCTCTGTTGGCCGAGTGTATGTACATAGATGTGTTGGTTGGTTGCCCCACTTTCTACATACTGCCTCCTGCTTGCTCCCAAGCTGGGTTCAGTCTTGAAGCTTCAGTATACCAAATATGACTTTCCTTCGGGGGTGTAGCTCGTCCGTTGTCCCAGTTGGTTCTGTTGGGGAAAAATACCTTGAAATTCTGTGATTCAGTGATGCCCACGCAAGCTAGCCGTTGTAGTTACTGAGCTTGGCCTGCGTGGACTTCACTACTGCCTTCTGTCACCAGATGGGCACAGCATAAGTTAGAATGTCTTTGGAGATGACGTTATACATCCACCTTGCCAGTTTAGGTGTGAAGCCCCAGTCCGTCCCCCGCACACACAGACCACAAAACTATACTTAGTGAAATAGAAAAATCTTCTTGCGATGACCAGGCATAGTAGTGCTGTTCTTTTTGGACATTGACCTGTTCGAACTCGGACAAAAAAGAAAAATTTGANCATGAACAACTTTCAGCGAATGACAAGATGCTCATCTCACTCGAGAAGCAATTGAATATCGAAATGAAAGTAAAGAATGGCGCTGAGAATATGATACAGTCACTGGCCAATGGTCATCATGGGCGCGACAAGAAGCTATTAGCCGAGGCGCAGCAAATGCTAGCCGATTCAAAGGCGAAAATTGAATTCCTGCGGCTACGCATACTCAAAGTAAAGCAGAACAAGGAGCATGCTCATAAATTGTCTGCACAGGCAGCTATTGCGGCTAGTGGTGATGGCGAGAATGGCGGTCAGCCACAGCGGCTGGAGACGACGCTCGAAGAGCGTATCGAAGAGTTGCGGCATCGTTTACGCATAGAGGCCGCTGTGGTAGATGGAGCAAAGAATGTGATACGTACCCTACAGAATAATAAAGTGCCCGATAAGAAGGCGTTGCAAGAGGTAAGTGAGCATTATTTTATATGCGTATGTAAGTACATACATATGCATTTATTTTCTTATTTACTTGTTTTTGGATTGGTTTACGGATTTCAAATATTTGCAGATCGAGTTAGGCTAATCTTAAATATGCCTTTTTTTTAAAGCGATCTCTAGTTTTTTAGAGCGCAGTCGGATCTGTATGTACATATGAAATATATTTATTTATTTTTTTTTTGCTTTTTACATTCCTATTTTTTTATAATTTTAGAAACTTT